GATTTCTTCAGTGAGAGGTGTGGTAAGATTTTGGGAAGAGGGACCTTCAACTGATGAACATGAAACATGTGAAATACCAAGATCCAAACTCTGACATATACCATAAATTCTACCTTTTTTATTTTCACCAGCAATTTTTATCCAAAGATCAGAATCAACTATAGGATGATTTGATGTATCTTCCCCATATTTTTCAATCATAGCATTTTCATATGATTCCTACATCAAATCAATATTTTAGCAATATTATAAATAAACAAAATTTAATATTTATAAAATATACACACTTACAATGAAATTTTTTGCTTTGTTAGACACATATTCACCATCTTTCTTTTTATGAACTTTGCTATATAATTCACCATAAGAAATAGGACGTTTGTGCTCTTCTTCCTGTGAAATAATTTACAATTCAAGATTCAGACATCAATATACCAATATCAAACCTAATATTCAATTTATAACTAGTAATCAATATTGATTAACAATTATATGATCAATGTATTAAATGTATAAAGTATGAATACCATTTTTTTCAAGTGTTGTCCAAAGCTTCTTGATCCTCCTGTGTGCATCATGGCATCGGGCTTGGCAGCCCTATTGGCCTTACCTGCAATGGACTTCTTTTTCCATTCTTCTGTTGCCCATATGTCTACTAATCCAACCCACATCTCTGTCCTTATACTTCTTGGCCCAAAACCCTTTAAGTCTTCAATATTATCTGAATTTGCTTTCTCTTTTGCCTTTTTCCTTGCCTTAGCTAAAGAGTCAAAATTTGTCCACTGCTTCATTCTTACAGTAAAACTTATTGTCTTAGTTGAAACCACAAATCTATTATAATTGCCAAACACTATTAATCATGAATGCACGAGTAATTATAGTCACAAATAAAATTAAACCTTAAACATATATGTTTTTTTTTTTCAAATCATAATAGATTTAGGAGCTGTTGAGTTTTAGGTTCTCTCCCACTCACAATTTATTGAACTTTGATAATATATTGGGCCAACTAAAAGTTGAAAGGATTAATTTAATTAAGACATCATGGATTTGGTGGACAAGGTAAAGTCTCTGAACCAGCGTGATTTTGAGATGAGGTTTAGACTCTTTTCTTTTGTTTAACCTTCATAAATAATTTTTGTTATGTTCAAAACTAAAAACTGAGTGCATTGGATATCTATCTATAAATATACACATAAAAAAGCATATACATAAAGCAATTAATATTAAGAGAATTTAATTAGAAGGGTGAGATATGACTTACCTGGTAGAAGGGTGAGATATACACATAAAAAATGTTTGTGTCCTTTGCATACCAATCAAAAGAAAATCAATTTAAATAAAACATGTGGGTGTGATAGCTTATATTAAACAAATCAAGGCACGCAAAGAATAAGACTATACACTATAGTTCTATAGTCTTGATTCCAGACACGCAAAGGAAACACACCACAGTTCACAAAATCACAAGAAGCTATACCTATACCTGATAGGTAGATAGGCATAGATAAGGGAAAGATGATTGTATTGTAGTAGCTCCATTATTTGAATGAGTAAGCAGTTACTTACTACAAACAAAATCATCCACTCTTCTCTCTCTGTAACATATAGATGGTAAGTAATCATACTTCTACTTATCCTGCAATATCCGTTCATGTGCCTGGGTATTGTTTTGGCCTCATACTGAGTTACACTTACAATTTCTCATGATTCCATTTTCCCAAAAAATGATCATGTACTTGTTGGAGTAATTACTCTCCCGCACAGTCACTCTCCTATTCAGCCTAATCCATCACTACAGCCTTTCCCTTCCTACCTGCACTGCACACACCACACTTCCGGTCTCACACATCATTATTGAACTCTAACACTATGAAAATTATTCAATGTCACTTTGCCGCCAGCTGCTACATGAGTAAAGGAATATATGCATCTGCCTCTGCTATCATAATTTCCTAACCCAACCAGGTTCCAAGAACACACCATAAATATCTAATAACGCATAAAAATATATAATAATCCGCATTGCTGTAACATGGTATACGTAATAATGCTACTTACTCAACAGAACAGAGTTCACTCTAAAAATAATACACAACAAACTTAAAACTATTTAGCGATAGACAATTAACGATGGATAAAACTTAAACACATATTGAATAAAATCAAACCTCCCAAAACTCAAATCACAAGGTAACATTCAAAATGAAAAAAATATTACCGTGAGAAAACGTCAGCGGCAGCGTGTGCGGAAGTGGCGCAGGACAGCAGCGGACGCGACGCAGGACAGCGCAGGAGCGGGAGCAAGAGTAGTAGGGGAGCGGCGCGAGAGCGAGAGCGGCAGCGACAGCAACAGCGGATGGGAGCGGCAGCGAGCAGCAGCAGGGAGCGGTAGCGAGCAACAGCGAGTGGCAGGGAGCAGCGGCACAAGACAGAGAGAGGCGTTAGGTTTGAAAAAATTAAGCACGAAGAAGATGACAAAAAATAATTTAGATTTTTATTAAAAGAATTATAAAAAAATAAATAAATTAGTATTTCTGAATATAATTTTTTTTATTTCTTATAAAGAATAGTTTCTAAAAAAATTATAAAAAAAAATTATTTATAAAATTTTTCTATTAATTTAAATATTATTAAATATTTCTAACAAATTTAAATTTATAAAAAACTTACAAAAAATAATTTTAAATATTTATCAATTTTTTTAGATATTTTTTTCAAAAAATTATAATTATTTCTATATAATTTATTTTAGATAAAAAATAATTTATATATATAATTATATATTTATAGTAAATTTGGTAAAAATAATTTTTTTAAGAAAAAATTGTAATTAATTTTATTGATATTTTTTTCAAAAAGATCAAAAATTATTTTTTATAATTATATATTTTTAGAGAAATTTACAATTATTTTTTATAAATAATTTTTTATAAAACTAAAATAATTTATAAGAATGGTTCCCAATAATTTAATATTTTTTTCAATTTGATAGTTGCTATAAATTTGCTACAGTTTAACTATAATTGTATGTTACATAATTTAGCTAGGAAATAACTTCAAAAAGCAATATAGCTAATATTTATAGCTAGGGATTAGTGACAAAAATTTTCCTAACTAAATTATTTTTTTGTTAAGTGAGAGAATAGCTATAAAAATATTAGTTTTCTAGCTATTTTACTACAAATTAGCTACAACTTTATTCTTTCACTATTCCATAGCTAATTAGCTACAAATTAGTGAAAAATAAATTTTGTAGCTAATTTTCCTAGCTAATTATAAAATTTCTTGTAGTGTATCTAATAAAGCCTTTACCATTAATTAACTCCCTATCCTATGCTAAGCACTAACGATGATAAAAGGTTCTACGTGACAAACCAAACTTTTGTTACCTGATAATGTCTTTTTTAATATTTAATTATACGATTTAATTACTTTGTTTTTTAATAAACCATATTGAATTTTTTATTGCCTTCTCATTTGCCCTAATGGGATAGCTGCGATAAAGTTTACCCAGATCAATCCTTTCTGGAAAAAAGTGAAAGCAAGGGACAGAAGAGTGGAAAATTAAGGAAGAAGAGAAAGGAAAGGAAGTAATTATGATTAGGTGGTATATGATGATGCTGTTTTCTATGATTATTCAACATTAGTATGATTCATAGAGTGTGAATGTTGGATCTTGTCCTGGGTTTTCCACAACAATTAGACATTGATCCTGTAAAGCATATCTAGTTATCTACAACGGAGGCACCAAAAAAGTCAAAAAAAGACGAGAACAAATTTAATCCAATTTCTGGGGCAGCTCCTAACTTTTCTTGTCTCCTGTTTGCCTGCAAGCTGTAATTAAGTGTTGCAACATAATTATGCACTTGCTATTGCTAATAACTTATTAATTGCTTTTGTTTTCTATATATCTCAATCAATCTTTATATAATACATAATATATTTAAATATTATTATTCATTTTATATCAATTTACAAACTTATTATGTTATTTAAAGAATGGTTAAGACCACATATATATTAGATAATGGTAGAAAATTAAAAATAATATTTAATTAAAGAACATCAAGACAACATATGTGAAGTAAGAATTGAACACCACTCGTTTTGTCTTATTTAAAATGTGAATAAAAAGCCTTATTTTGTGGGGAAAAGGCTGTGAGATTGGGTTAGACAAGTTTTATGATGAAATCTTACTAGTTAATTGAAATGATAAGACTGAGAACTAAATTAGGTTTTGCTTTAATCTAAATGATATATTTTGATTAGTAAAGGAACTCATTGCTTTATACTTTTGTGACAACAAAGACCCTCGTGGGTCTATCTGAATAAAAAAGTCAACAATTATTCCTATGCGAGAAGGACAAATTATAAGCCAACCCTTATAGATTTAGTTGATGTGACTCAAGGAAAAATCTGTTCATGTGATATTCTTTCGGATATCCACCATAACAACTATGAAAATCGTCTTTTGCTTTCTCAAAAAAACACCTTGTTATAACTAGTGCCTCTATTATAAAGTCACCAGTACTAACTTGGTACAATGTTTTAAGATTATTATATTTTAAGAATTATATATATCACTCGCAATGGTGAGAGCCTAATCTCTGAATAGTATTGTTTTGTTCATTTTTTGTTTTTTGCTGCTTAATTTTTTTATCAATAAAAAAAATGTCAAATAGGACCTGCAACTTCAAATTAAATTAAAGTACTCTTCACAACCACTCTTGTGCTTTGGAGTAGTGGTTTGTAAAGTCTTCACAAAAAGTGAGAGACGAAGAATCTATTTACAAGTAACTTAAAATCAACGTCTAGGTTCATTAACTATGAACCCTATATTATTGTTTATTTAGTGCTTTGTGTCTCTATTTGAGTAGTTATCTTGTTCTTGTATTGCTTAGCAGCTTGAGTTATCAACATGTACATATTACAAAGCCATATCTATAATTGAATAATGGTACGTCCATAAATACTTGATTTCTTTCATTTGGGAATATTTAAAATGCTGGTTGTAGTTGTTTGTGGAAGATTTTATGCCCGGGTGATAGAATCATTCTTGGATCAAACTGGAGTTTTCTTTCTAAGAATTTCATCCATTTAGGACCAAAATGGTTTGTCCATTCTTCCTGTGTGCTGTGGTTGGGAAGATATAGCTTAACCTTAATGCCAGCATCACTACAGAACTCCAAAATTTCTCTGTTTTGAGCATCATACGCCTTCCAAGAATCAAACCCACTTGAGTGCAAAAACCCAACTGTGTAGAAGACATCCTCGTCTGGTATAGATGCTGACATCCTATCGTCCCACCTGGATATAAATTTGATATTAGTAATGACTATTATCTTCTGAATTTTATTGAAAAAAAATGATGGGGTCGACTTGTCAGGAAATAAAAAGACTTGCATCATCACACTCCTGAATTATAATGACACAAGAGTGTGGTACATGCATTCAAGGCTTACTTGTTTCTATTCATAGGGTAAACCAAGACTGGTCCAGAGGAGATGTTTCTTTTAAGTATTATATCTTTGAATACTCCTGAATTAAAATCCAAGATTTGTGATTTTGGTATGAACAAATTAAGCCACGGGTGAGGAACCTCCCACAGTCCTTGCGACTGAAGCTTCAACTCCCCACTTCGGACTCTATTCAAGAACTCAACATATGAGACATTTTTCTCATAATAAAATCCGGGGATATAAGCCAGCCCTTGGAGCAAAACTTGCATTTCCTAAAGAAAGACAAAAATATTATTATCACCGATTAAAAATTGTGATTGCTATCTTTGGCTATGGCTATCTACTCTATAAAGATTTAACATCTGGGGTTATTAAGGTGTAATTCAAGAAAACTCACTAAATATATATTATATGGAAAATGATATTTTCACACCACTATTTGCACAAACAACTCATTAAACAACTGTATTTTATATTATAATAATAATTTTAACTTTTTTTAATTTTTATTAAATCTCTTTTTTATGCTTATTATATTAATAAAATGAGTTATTTTTGGAGTTGTTTTTTTGGACAGTGCTTTTTTTTTATCTTTGAAAAGAAATGTGATCTAACTAGAATACGATATGACAAGAGGATACCTTGGCCACATTTTTCTCGGTTTGGTCGTCATAATATTTAGCGACTTCAAGACAGTAGAGGATGGTATGTTGAGTTATTAAAGAAGCTATTGTGGGATGGTCAGATAGAGGGAAGAAAGAGGATCTCCAATTATTTATGGGGCCTTGGTTCATTAGCAGCATGCCTTCCAAAAAATCCAATGCATTCTTTTGTTTCCTTCCATTGATTGAGATTAATCGTTCCTGGTCTTTGGTAAAAGCAGAAAAGTCACTATAAAGTAGTCTGACCCACTTAACCTGCATGCCAACCAAAATTCACCGTTAATAGTGTCTTATACTATTAAGCTTACTAACGAAATAGAATATAATAAAATGAAATATACGAGAGAGAGAGAGAGAGACGTATTTATGTATCACAAGCTCCCACCCTTAGTCCAATCAAATTGGAAGGATAAAGATAAGAATACACGAACATGTGGTGGCTTGGCTTGTCTCTTTAGACATCAAATCTCCTCATGTTTCATGTGCTAGCTTGAAGTCTCATGTATGTAAGAATGTATGCATGGACTCTCGAAGGTTTTTTCAAAAGGAGCACTTGTTTGGTTTGATAAAAAAGATTAGATTATATGTCGTTGAAAGAGTATAATACATGAGTTTTTCTAAGTCTACTGATTTAAGAGCTTAAGATCTAAGACCATAATAATTTCAAGAGTGAATTGTCCATTGTTTTTCAATTTCAAATCCACATTAAGTGGTTCAAACTCTTGCTTTACGTGGGTGCCAACTGCCACTTGGTAGATATGTATACAAAATGACTATTCCTTCAAAAATGACAATTCGATTTGGCGTCACTATGAATTGGTGGAGGAAAAGCTACAAGAAGACAAAATCTAGTCAATTCTCTATGAACGTACCCTTTTGGGTGCTGCCTCAAGAGCTATTCTCGCCCTTGCTATGACTCCAAATTGTCCCAAGCCTCCAAGAACCGCGTTGAATAACTCCAAGTTCCTCTGCTTAGAGCAGGTTACGAACTCTCCTTTTCCTGTAGCCAAGTAGAGGACAAAATCTATTTATTAAATTGCACATTAATTTAGATCATGCATGCCTCAATTGTGAGAGTAACATTTTCCATATGTTGTATTTCAGTCTTTTCATGTGAATGGATTGACCAATATAAACGACTTGACCAGCATAAAGTTAATCAATAATGGAAAACTATGACCGTGGACCTGGTTTCTAAACCTTTGGAAACGTTTGCCTCGCTCACCCATATTGTAGACAAAGACTGTTCCTGCTTTCGAGTTCACCAACCACATAACTGGGTATATATAAAACTTGTTCAACAAATCATATCTTATACATTTACCAGAACATCTATGACACACCATGTCATGTCATAAGAGACAAAACGGAAACAGCTCAAGAAAATTTAACCTTTCTCTTCTTTCAAGTTTCGACATCAACACTTTCTCTCCAGAAAACGAGGCAATAGAAATTTGCAAAACCTAACAAATGACAGGTACGGTTGCTATTGTATCTAATTTTGGCCACTAAAATGAAAATAGTAATAATTACAGCGATAAAATGTGGTTTATAAATTAGAAATCAATCCTTATGTGTATGCGAAATTGCGAAGAAACTTATACCAGTTATCACATCCATTTCGTGAACGTTGCTGATTTGAGGTCCATAGCGGAAACTCTGGCCACTGATTCCAGCGTTGGAAAGTGTTCCTCCCACTGTCAAGTACAAATAATCAGTCCAAGAAACGGGTGCAAGTCCATGTTCTAGTGAGGCGTGTAGCACATCAATCCAGAGTTGTTCCCCTCCAACATCAGCATAGTGACCTAACAAAGGGTCCTTAGAGACACTAATCGCAACCCCATTTCTTTGTTTCCTGAGGGTGGCCATGTTAACCACAACCCCATCACGAGCCATGGCTTGCCCATGAGTGGAGTGGCCTTGGCCCCTCGCAGCTATGTGAAAAGGGGCAAAGCTATTGTACGAGGATTTTATCAAGGTGGCTATGTCATCTATAGAAGACGGATGAAACACAGCTGCTGGGAGTTCATGCACGATATGGCCATAGTCCCTTGAAGCCATTTGAATGGCTTCAGGGTCATCATGAAGCTGGTGGGATATATTTTCAATGTCAAGATCTGGTAGAATCGGGGCTTTCCATTGCTCAGTTTTGCCCACAGTGTATATCAAACGGGTTATGGTTACTAGTAGCAGAATGAAGTAGGTTGAAGAAGGGTAATTTAAAGCCATTTTTGAAGAGAGAGAGAGAGAGAGAGAGAGAGTTCTAGTTGTGCAGAAGAAGAGAACTAGAAGAAAAGTTTGGTGTTGTGGCAGTGATAATGGGTGAAGGGAGATGTGGCTATAAATAGAGAATGGAGGAAAGCTTGCATGAGAAAAAGAGGGTTTGGAAATAGAAAAATGATTTTGCACACTTATTGGGGCTGCATACATATCGGGATATGGATCATGGAAGAGAGAAATAAGAATGACAATGAGAAAAAAGTGTAGACGTAAGGTGATGTGATCTAGAAGAAAGAAAAATAAAAAATATAAAAATACAGGTAAGGTGATGATGAGAAGGGAAATTACATGTTATATTGGGCAAAGGATGGCAAAATGTCAAATTCAAAGCTACATGGAAATGGAACCGGGTGATAGAGTGTGAAGGTTCATGTGAATTGTGAGGAAATAATTAATTAATATTTGCGTACGTGTTTTGTGTTTGTGTATGAACCATCATATATATGACAAAGATTCCCAGCAATTGAACATTTGAACCCACAGATTTGTACCATTTTTGTGGGCTTTTACCGGGACCAAAATGGGATTAGTGAAATCTGGCCGTTGATATTCGACCTTGGTCAAGTAATAAATATAAATTACTTACCCCACGTTCATTTTTTTTATTACCACTTGGTATTCGTGTATTTCCTATTTTAAGAATGAAAGTGGGTCAAAATTAGGTAATTATCAAAAGGATCTCTTAAGATATGTTTTGGGGATGAGAGAATTTGTGATTCATCAAACTATTTTGCATTCAACTTTTGTGGTTGATGGAGGGGTAATAACAATGGGAACGGAAGGAGACATGACACCGGATTTTCTTCAGGCCAAGATTTTGTCTGTGAGCATCTAAAGCAACATGTAATCAATGAAAAGTCAAACAGGAAATTAAACCATAATTATACCCACCAATATGTTTCTCTCACTACAGTCACAACTCACTTAACACGTTTCCATGACATTATTTCCCTCACATTTCATTTGTTCATAGCCAAATAAAATAACCATGTCCGATTCCCTGCCATTATTAGTCTGGTAATTAAGGAGAATGTTCATCATCATTAATAATTAGTTTCCCCCTGCTGTTAATATACCTAACTCACCAATTCTTCTTGCCCTGCCTTACATCATATATGTCACTCAAAAATATTACAATCACCCTCCCATGCACATGCATGATACATTGAATTTAATTTGCCTCTGCCTATCTTCTCCTGTGTACACTATCATTTGTTGTGATAATTAAGAGTTTATATATATATATATATATATATATATATATATATATATATATATATATATATATATGATAGCAAAGGGACAAGAATAAATATTGTGTTGACAGAATGTCAGGATACTATGAACCATATAAACTATATTTTATGTAAGCATCAAATGTCTCTTTGTGGATTACTAGTTAAATTAAACAAATTAGCCGAAGACAAATAAGAGATCTCAGTTCCTAAGCTAAGAATTCTATATGCAAATTTGACTAACAACTAAAGGGCGTTCAATGAACAATCTTTGACTTGTAGATCTCGCAGGTAAGAGGAGCTATCAGCTGATAACAAGACCTTCCACCATTCAAGTCTCTGTGGAACCATATTCTACTAATGCTTCCTATTGAAGCTTTTGTAATCTTTCACGATAAATGTTACATGCATGACTATTAAATGTACCGAAAAATGGAAAAGACTTACAAGGTCAAGGGTTAAGTAACAGGATTGACTACATAAGATACTAATTCTGGTTGGGGATACATGTACTCACAGTGGTAATTAGGTCTTCTACCTAATAAAATGAACATCTGGTATACTTGGTCCTTCAAAAGTAGGGGCCAGAAACGAAAGTGTGAAAAGAAAGAGTTGGTCTTGGTATATATATACATATATATAATAAATCCTGACATATATCTATGTATATATATATTTATTGATAGGAAGTACCATCTTTTGTATTTTTTGAAATGTTTGGTGAAATTCATATTCAACTTAACGAGAAATGCAATATCCTTACTTTAACGCACTTTTTCTAGTACTGTGACTCATGAGAATATACAATGAACCTAAGCTTTCATGCCAATATTTCTGTTTCTGATGGATCCTTGTAAATGACTCTAGTAAAGCCATTTCGCACAGATGCATACATATCTTCACCAATATACATAGACAAATATGAAAAGGGGAGAGGGGGTTGTCCCTTGTCGTTTTGTCCAAAGTGGAACTTGTGGTGATTTTTAAATCTTACTAGTTGTTGTTTTGCAGGTTCAGTACAAACAAAGACACAAGTTTTCGCATGCTAGTTAATGCTAATAGAAGGAATGAAACAAAGTAAGACAATGCCGTGCACTGCAATGGGAAGTAGAGGGGGGACTGTTTCTTAGATATTGAAGATCTTTTTGGGGATCTATCACGTGGTCCCAAAAACAAAGGTAACGAGAAAACAATAACATTTCAAACAAAAATATTCATTTCACTCTTGCAAACATATCATCTCATAGATTCTGAATCTTGCTTCAAACCAACCTCAGCATCAAAATCAGATCTTCTTCCTCACCATCACTGAATGGGTTAATCAGTGAATTTTTTAGAGATCTCACATAACATATACCAGAAAGGTAAAAAAAATCAAAATAAATTACATACAGTGTCAACTTTTTATACATATTCAAGTGGGAGGGGACCTATATATTCTCATTTCTTGCACATGTCCTTCTTTCAATTTTGATTTTGGAGAGATTATCAAAATAGAAAAACAAAAAGCTAGTACCAGTAGTAGTGCACGTACTATATGGTGCAAATATATATATCTCTCCTCTGGACTCACTCTATTACTCATAAAGTAGTTGAAAAGAAAATACATGTACTCAATACTTATTCCAACGTCGCCACAAGATCTATAACTGTAGTTAAAGATTTCACTAATTACTGCGTGTCAAAGAGTTAGTGCAAAATTAACTCTGAAATTTTATTTTTTTGTCTTTATTTTCAATTATAGTACTCTTAGGGTTACAATCATTCTTCAATTATAACGTTTTAAATCATTTTTTCTTAACAGGGTGCATTTTTAGAAGTTTACTGTTTACATCGAGTTTCACATTTTACCTTTATATATATATAACGAATATATTTTTTAATAATTTTATTTAATATAATAACCACTAGATAAAAATATTTTTCAAACAATTATTCTTTTATATGTTTTTCTTAAATGAATTTCATATTTTTAATAAATATTAATGATTAAATACAATATTGTATCACAATATAATTTATTATTGTAAATGTAAAATATAATTTATATTTTAAAATATTTATTTGTTATATTTTTGTTATAATATCATTTTTATAATTGAAAATATTCACTTAATATACATTTTAATTACATAAAACTAAATATTTATTTTATGGATTGTAGAAACTAAAATACTATAAAAAAATATTAATGAAGGCTTATATACTACTGTATCTCAATGACATTGTAAAGCAATTGAAAAAAAAAATAACAATCATTTTATTATAGCACTGTCATTCAGAAAGGTTCCATTAAATTTTTAAAATACTAAATTTAATTACTTTTAAATTTTAATAATTAGATATGTGTAGAAAATTTATCCACCAAAATGGAACTTGTTAGAAGCTATCAATTATGTGATATAAGATTATTATTCAAGCTTACCACTTGTTAGAAGCTACCAAAATGGAATTTTGAGTATCTAATGGATCTGGGACACTATCATTATCACTGACACTTGGGTGTCTCTTTAATGTGATATTAAGAAGATACAAATCACCAAAATTCTTCCATGCTTGAGGGCCCTCCCATTGAATTTCCTGGCCACCCAATTCATTCTTAACATATACCTATTTCAAAAACAAGGAATAAAAAGTTTGTTTTTATATAAATTACTAAATTATAAAAACATAACAAATAGAATAAAAAATAATTTTTTTATTTTTATTTTTATTTTTAGAGTGAGTGAACCATTTCCTGTTAAAACATTGTAGTTTCCTATTTAGGTTTAGCATGGCAGTGTCGGGATTGAAGATGTCAATATATAGTATGTTGAGAAAATGATGTTCAAAACATTAATACTAAGACCTCAAGACTATATAACTTGCAAAACCTAATTTTTCTTAAATCACGAATTCATGATGACCTACATTTATTCTTGAAACACATCTATATTTAAGCGGAATTATGTATAATACATATTGACACTCTCAAAAGCACGATGGTTAGATGGAGGTGGGATTATTCACAAACTTATAAATAAATAGACTTCACATTTTTCTTCAAAACATGGGGACTCGTTGAAGTAAAATAATAAAAAATTATTAATTATGGACAACGACTCAACGTCTTGAGATAGCTTTCAATGTTACAAATTTTAGGTCAAATTGAAATTGAAGGAGTTTTAATTGATGTTGTAAAAATATATGGGTATTTTAAATTATTCTTTTTGGTATTCTTTTTGGTCAAAGAGTAGTAAAAAATTGGAAGAAGATAAAAAAAGGAAAGTAATCAGTCACTTCGCTTTGGAATTTTGTGACAGAAAACGAACAGGCTCCGTCAGAAAACTTTAGTATATCGCTTCATTCAAAGTCCAAACCATGGTTACGGTAAACGATTGAAGACGGTAAAATGCAGCAAGCATGGGTTTAGTTTATTCTATTTTCAAAAATATTGTTCTATATCATCATGTAATCAAGAATATGTATCCAAATCAAAATTATTTTATCATCTAACTTATAGTATTTGACGCAAAACTTGTGATAATATAGTTGATGTTCACAATGAATTTGAATATAGTAATAAAAGTTATTTTGTTGTGAGAATATTTGAGGTACCTAAAATTGAGTGGTGAAATAAAAATGTGATGAAGAATGGAAGACGTATGATTACTACTAGAAAGATGAAATGTCAATTCGAAGGTAAAGGCTATGTGTGGCTATCTGTTTCCCAGT